CTTGAGGGCTCTCGCTGTGGGTTTGTGCTCAGCACAGTGCACCTCCTCCTTTGGTTTTAGTCAATGCATTAAGCCAACTGCTGCCTTAGTGACACACAGGAATAACAGTTTCCCCTTGCCCCCAGCCACTCCAGAGGGAACAAGATGAACTTCTGTTATGAACCTAACTCAGTTCCTGAAGGGTTGAGTTTGCCAATACTAAGCCTTGATTTCTTCCTGAAACCCGTGTGTTCAAAAAAAAAAAAAATACAAGTGACTTGTTGTTTGCAATCTTACTAATTAGCTAGGTCAAAAATGGTGAAACATCCACATCTTCATTTCAGCGTAAAGGCATGCAACGCAAACTCTACACGTTGACACACACCATATAAATATAGTTATTTTCCTTTCTTTAACGAATGTATTGTCCTCAATCCAGTTTTAGGATTACACTCTAATCTCAGTCTCTGAGCAATCTGTGTCCACATATCTAGGATTAGAATTTAGCCCTACAGCCTCTCCAGTGGTACCTTATGCCAACTAAGAAGACCTATTTCATGATCCTGTATGACATAATGTTGGTATAATTGCTCTCTTGCTTTCCAAAAGTCATTTATTCTGCTGACTGTGGGTTCTTGAGTAAGTACAATCTCTAGCTGCATGACTCTTAGCATAGGTTTAGGGCAAGAACCCTTGATACTAGAGTTAATAACATTAGAGTATTAGTAACATCAAAATATTTGTCTATTTTTTAAAACAGTATCTGATTTCTCAAGTAATCAGGGGACCTTTTTCTAAAAAGGGAACCAATAGAAGTAAAAATGAGACTATGTATGAGTTTACTCATATATTTCACTCATAAGCAGGTGTGCATGTTTATACTATAAATTTAACTGATTTCTCTGACACAGATTTACCTGAGCATTTTAAACAATACTCAGCTTCTTCCAAACAGTCTCTGGAGACACTGCAAAAGTATACTATACATTGGTTTTAAAAAATGCTAATTCCATGCGTTTGATGTAAATAAAAGCAGTATTAGTTAATGAAATCTTAACGCATTTAACTTAAAAAAATGTCTTCCAACAAGTCTATATTATACATAAAACTATAATGTATTTTACCAATGCAATGAATAATACACAGACTGCTATAGACATTTTGAAACTGCATGCAGCGTGATTCAATGTGCAACTGTTTCTGGTTCATGAAGTTTGTGTCTTGCCACTTCTCATCTAATAAATTGAGACAGAATTAGTGCTGGGTGAGTGGTTCTGCCTGCTGCCAAGAAGGGTTTGCTAAGGGTAAAACTCTAAAGGTAGAGATTAACTTGTCTTCATCCCTGTAATGTGCTGGACAGCCAGGATTTGTGCAATAGGATCAGAGTAGAGCCATATATGAATGTGACACTGGACAGCTGGTGTGTGTGCATATATATGAACCCTGATGCAAGATTTTAAGCTACTCTCGAATCCTAGCTAGTTATGTATCAGAAGTATACTTTCCCTATTCCCTCGGAGATCTTTTTTTGCTGATGTTGGTTTCTAATGTGCTAGTTTTTATGGAAACAGTATGAACCTTCAGTTTCCTAAATTTGACCTGCAAGTCAGAACCCCAGCTAAGTAACCAAAAAAGGTGTTTTTCCAAATGGAATGACAGACTAGACAAACACAATATCTCCTCCTGACACAGGGTTACATACAAATCTTTACATTAGGTTAAGCTAACTATTTATGCCACCTGATCAATACAATATTTCCCTGAACAGGAAATTCAGGGAAATAAACAAATAATTTAATGCAGATGATATAGACATACAAAATGTGTCCTTTAAGAATTAACACGATATTGATATTCTAAGATTGAGCTAGGGAAAAACAGATTAGCATTTCTGTGGAAACAGAACATCTGTAAAATTTTACCACAAATACCAGAGTTATTTTTATATATCTGAGAAGAAATCCAAGCTAAGTTAGATAGGATTGACTGGAACACTAGTGAAAAAAAAAAAAAAAACCCAGAATGACTTCATGGAGCAACTCCAGTGAAAATCTCATTAAGGAACAAACCCTCCTTTTGGCTCATGATGATTCAAAAACTGGGTCAGTGGAAACAGTAAGCTACAGTTTTAGTGGAAGAAGATACCAATGAACTTCCAAGTCATATTATTCTACTACTTTTTTCAATACTATATCTTTTCCATGTCAAACCAACAGACCACCTAGTCTACCTTTGCAAGGTTAAGTTGCTTACGTGGTGCACATTGCCTGAGGTGAAACTCTGTGAATCTTGGTTATCTAGTGGATAATAATCCATCAATAAATACGGATCAACTCCACTATGGATGCTGCTGTATATGGTACCCTACATTCAGTGAAAATGTCAGCATTTAAAAGAAAACCTCACTGTTGAAAAGAAAGATTTTAAGAATGGTTTTAAATAGTTTAAATAGAACATACTTCACATCCAACACAAAATCCAGACTTGTTTTGAGAACTGTACAGACTCTACAGAGAACACCACAGGTATACTGGTGCTACTGGTTTCTAACCACAGTTCCTTCTGCTTGGCTGTTGATCTGTCTGTTCTGTTGTCTGTCAGAACAGGCAGGGTATATGGGATCCCACATGAAGGTGCTGAATTTGGGTCAGAATAGATGAGTCTTTTCCCACTAGGTTTTCTATGATTCTACACTTTAAAGTTGTATCAAATAATTTAGTCACAGGTGTGATTTTAAGGGGGAGTGGAGTGAGGGGTGTTACAACAACAGTAAAAGCGTAGAAATACTAGGTAGGCGTGATAAAGAAAAGTCTCTTACTTGTATGTCTTTTTCCCACATAGGGACAGCTTCCCCAGAATAAAGTCCATTCACAACTGTGATTAAAACAGGGGATTAAAGCATTCTAGCAGTTCTTAAAAATCCAAAGTGGTACAGCTTGTCAGTCACCTGACAGAGAAAACATTGTTAGTGTTAATGTTAGCTTTTAAAACTCTTCTGCTTTACTAGAATAAAAAGGTTAAAACCTCCTATTTTTTTTCCATTGTGTCTCTCTGAACCTCTGCTCATTGCTTTGTGCCTTCATACTCTCTAGTCAGGTACACCAGGCAAAGGCCAAAGGCCAGACTGTCAGATGTTAGCACGGAGTTTAAAATTGCAGCTTTGTTTTCCAGAGTATTTACTACAAGGCCACTCACCCATGAAAGCCACCTAAATGGCTCACTGGACCAATACGGTATGGCAAATACCATCATCCGAGTTGCCATCTATTTTTTGAGCTGCTGTAAAGTTTAGTTCAGCATTAAATCGCTTTAGCGCTGAGCTTTAAAATGCTTTAGCAGCTCAGGAGCACTTTGGCAGCTCAGATGCTTTTCATGAAGCATCCAGTATCCTAAACCGCTTTAAGTCTAAAGTAGTTTAAAAAAAAAAATAAAAAAATAAAAAAAAAAAGGCAATTGGAAACATGTCCAGCAGCACATGTTCAGATACATATGTCAAGAACGAAGGACACTGCTGTTCTTGGATTTGAGAGGGTTGTCGGCTTCCAGGAAGACCTGAACTTTGGCCAGCACAGAATCTAGCATTTACATTTACAAATGCAAAGAACTTTTATTTTGAGGGAACACCAGTGGTGTGCTCCAAGTATAGCCTCTACTCTCAGTCTGATTGGCTGAAATTATTAACTTGTCTACCTTTTGGAAAACTCCTTTCGAGGCTAAGGCCAAAGTATCTTCACCACACAAGGAAATGGTAAATTCCTGAAGCACGTGAATTATATTGACAGCTTTCCTTTTAAATTTTTTGTAATTCATCAATAGGTCAAAGGCAATAAAAGGAGTTATAATAATTACTCTAATTTATAAATGGCTTGGGTAGCAAAATACAGGATTTGGCTTCCATCAGATTTTGGAAAATGAACAATTTTAAAAGTTTTGTTCTGTTTTGGAAAAGGACTGGCTGTGGAAAGGGGATTTTTGTTTGTTCCTGCTTACTATTTCTAAGGAATTTTTCTATCCTAGGTAGCTGATTTAAAGGTAAACAAATCACTTTGTGATTGGATCTGTCTTGTACTCATAACAACGGTAACAACTCAAGCTATGTTTGATCTTGCTGGTACTTGTACACCACCACTGCCTTTGCAGCGGTCTCATCTGCACAACTGGGCTCACAGCTGGATTTTATCATGCCAGTGCTGTTAATCACAGGCATTGACTTTGTAAGGCTAGAAGTAGTGGCAACATAGTATAAAAATTAAAATAGGCTTCAGCCTGCAAAGTAAGCAAGTTTGTCATAAACGTGAAAATACATGAGAAAGACCTGAGCAAAAGGGAGTTGTCAGAGTTCTCAGAGAAGGCTATCAATTTAACGTAAGAGCATTATCACAACATGCTGAAGGAAAATTGGCAAGTAAGCCATAAAAAGTCAAACCGTCCAAAGCTCTGATTGGTTTGGCCATTTGTGTTTCAGAGATCACATCTTTGTAGGGTGATTATGAACATGTACTCAGCAGTTGCCAGCACTCGGCTGAAGCAGGAGGTAGCTGCTGCAAGCGATGCGTCAGGGATGGGTTCCCTGCCATGGGATTCACATCCCAAACTAGACCCAGAAGAGAAGAGTCTGCTGCTTTTAGCAGCACTCAGTCCTCTGTTTCTTACATCTAGCTTCTCAATGATTCCTATTTTCTGGTTTTCATAGAAATGTTCAGAAAGGCATGATTCACTTGAGCTCTTTTTGGTTTTGGTAGATTCTCTGTGCTTCTATCTTTGCATTTCTAAGGTGTCCCTCACTGTTATCTTTACCAAATGCCGACTGGACTCATGGAGCTGTAACTTTCTATCTACAGGATGAGAACTCTTATGCGTTACATCTTCCACCTTTCAGAAGAAAGAATCTATTTCATCAGAGCTAATGGAGAAGAAAACTCAACTCCTTAATTTCAACTTTAAAAAAAAATAACAAAAAAAAAATCTGTGATTTGCTCTGCAAATCTAATTTGAAATAAATGTACAGATGCTCCTGCTGCCTTTAGAGCTAGCCTGCTCCTTCTGCCAACCCCTCAACTTAAAGCATCCCACACAGGATAGCTTTTTAACATCGAGGCTGTGGGTTACAGGACTTATTTCCTTTATGATCTACCTGCACAAATACTCCTGCTGTAGATCATTCCCCCCAAATCCTGAGCAAGGTATACTGTGGTTATTCATTCCCCTGGTATCAGGATCATTTGTAATCTAGTCACCTTCCTCTCAGACAGACTTAGAAATGCTCACACAATCCACCTCAGTGACACTACAGTTATTCAGCTATGCATTTGTAGTGGTTTAGTTTTTAGTCTAGATTTCTACTCTTCATCTGGCTTTATTTACCTGTACATATATCGATAATTAATATGAGCCTTGCTGTTTTTATCACTGTTTTCATCACTACAAAGCATGTTTTTTTACCTTTTTTACTTCATTTAGTAGTCTTAAGGGGTTGATGTCATTTGGAACATATTTCTACCATTTCTTTCCATCTGTTTCACTTAGTTTACAGTAGGCAGGCCTCCAAACTATTACAATTCTCAAATTAAACCAAAAGTGCCTGCCTTCCTGAGTATGAGCACATGTCACTGTTCTCAGGGCTGCTGCAAGCAAAAGACTTTGGCTTCATTATGTCCTTCTGAGCAGCTGACATTTCCCAACATCCTGACTTTCCTTGCATGGTAAAACCCAAAGACGCTGAACAACTCAGTATAAACAAGGGCAAAATTTGCATTGTCCTGAAACTGAAAGTTTCTATATGGTAACCAATACAATCCACAAGCACTGAAGGGTACAGCTGTGACTGGCAAGACTACCTGCTTATCTGAGAGATGTATAACCTGCTCTGTTTCCTTACTTTTTTGAATGTTTTATTCTTTTCTGTGGGCCTGCTGATTCAGTTCTTTACAGCGGAAAAGTTGTTGCTGCCTCCTTGCAGCATGACTCCACGAGATCATATGAGAAAAATGTCTATCCTGGGGGAACAAGGAACACTAGAAGAAAAGCACTTGTACCGATTAGCAAGTGGCATGGCAACAGGAGGTAAGCGGGAAGAAACCCAACTGCATGTTTGTTTATAGGATTGCTAGTATCTGTACAACATATAAGAAACAGACAGCAACAGGTTTAATGTCTTTAAAAGGTATCTCAAATTTGTTTTAGGAGTAACTGGAGAAACATTTCTCTTATTAAAAGTTAATATGGGGGATTCTTGGCATTCAGAATTTGGTCAAGAGAAGCTAAGCATCTGGAGAATCAAGGTCACCCAGGAACTCAGCAACAAAATCCATTGCTGAGCGTTATGATGACTGGCTCATCACTGCAGGCTCTTCTTTCTAGAGCTGCTGTCTCATGACAAGGCAGGTTCCAGCTAATAAGATTTTTCCAAAAATAAAACTGTATTAGAAATGAAAACTCTCTCAAGCACAGAACCTAACATTCATACATATTCTCTTCTGTTTAATAGTGATATATAAATTATTGTTGATTGTAAATTGTCCTTTTGCACCCTTGGCTGCTCATCCTGTTTATTTTTACTGCAGTTTGATTGTATCAAACTACATTATTTAAAGAACGTATCTGAGGTGGCAGTGGAAATGTATTCTTTTTCAGTTGCCGATTAAAAAAAAAACAGTGTGATGTGCTAACTCATACTAAATGCTGTCACTTGTAAAAAAAAAAAAGATATTTTTTTCTGATAAAGTTATACTGCGGACAGCATAAAACTTTCTAATTTACTACACTGACAACAGAACTGTATATGCTTTGTGTCAGAACTGCGGCAGAGGCAAGAGATGCTAGTGAGAAATCAGCTGATGACAGTGAACCCTCAGCTAATGGGCACAGGCCAGCAGAGAATGCAGGTGATTCCCCCTCAGTTTGAGCCTCGACTGGTAGACAGGTATTTTGCACCACTTCTCTATTAAAGCACTGCAGTTAAAGAATAACTGTGCGTGTGCTGCACCTGAGTATATAAAGATCTTAGATTATTCTTAACTCAACAATGTCATTTGCATATCTAAATGTATTTTTGTCCTCTCAGAGATCTATTACCTTCAACTGAAGTGATGGCATCAGCTGACCCAAGACAAATCCATATAGCATCCCACCTCGGACCCACAGTCCCACAGCACACAAACATGCCAAACATATTGTCCAACCATGTTTACCCAGGCCCAGGTAATGAAGCATTGTCTGCATCCTGAAAAGTGATAGCATGTAGATGAGAAAGTAAACTGCACCTACTAGTTTTTCACAAATTTATCAGTAGTATCAATACACAGTTTATTTTCTTTGGAAAAACAGTCTCGCTAAAAGGAGGCAGTCTGCCTACCAAAGATGCTAAACTGTGCCAGTTTAAGTCTAAACACCTCTCCTTTAGCTTTTGTTAAATACACTGTTTTCAGAATCATTTGCATGTTTGTGTTCTCTCATTTTCCTTTTGTATTTTCCAAGCATTTGCGTAACTAAACAGAAGGTTGTAGCTAAACAAATTAGTCCAATCAATGCTTTTTGCTACATTTAACTCTTGCTCATATATGAGCATTTGCTGTTTTAAAAGACTACTTTACTGATCATGTTCTTTAATCATAATATCACATGCCATTTTACTCATGTAGGACAATTACAGGTCCTTTTAATAAAGGTTTAAAATTACAGGGCACAGCTTTAAGGCTGGATGCCACAGCATGTCAACACAACTGTGGCACGCATGCCATGCTGCCATAAATTTACACATCACTTTATACAAAGAGGTCATATCTTAAGGTTCCTTCTTTGAGATAAATGAATAAATTCTCAATGCCACATAGATCTATAAACAAGAATTTCTGGCTTCAGCTTTCCCCCCCCCCCCCCCCCCCCCCCCCCCAATTGGGATCTCAAATAAGAGATTGCCTCAAAAGGAAATGTCATTTAAAATTACATGGCATCTAGGCTGGAAAGAGTCTTGAAGGAGCAGGTTTGCTTGGTTATTATTTTCTGAGCAGCTATATGTACTTCAAAGACACAGGTCACCAAATAAAACCACCCTGCTGTATTTTTCCTTCATGGATAATGGCAGATATACCTAACTACGGATCTGATCCTGAAAACACCTGATGCTGGACTTCATGTTTCTAATACATATTCCCGCCAAAGCAATGAACACAAATAGAATTTAACTTGAAGTCATATCAGCTTTCTGGCAAAGCACATAGTTCAAATATTAAAAAGCTTTTTAAAGTGTCTCTTCATTGCCTTGGGGTCTGTGCATTTGCTATTTACTTGAGGGAGTAAGTGAAAAGTGAATTTTTGAAGTTTTGTGGGTTTTTTTGTTGTTTGTTTTTTGTTTGTTTGTTTGTTTTGTTTTGTTTTTTGTTTTTTTCTTCCCCCTCCCCTTTCAGGATATAGCTTTCTGCAACCAGAATCCATGGAAGCTGTGGCCAGAAGACAGGAACTGATTCAAAAGCAAAATATTGCCAGGTAATCAATAGTAAGCTTTGATCTGAGGTACGTGTTAGGATTAGAGCAAAGGCAGCTGGAAGTTACTAAGTCACAGACTTTTTGTGGTTTTTATTTACAGCAATTGAGATACATTTAAGTCACCCAGAGAAGCAGAGGGCCCTTGTTTCTCTTAAGGGCTGAAGCTACTGAACTTTCTGCTTGCCCCTATTCTGTTTTTAGCCTTAAAACGATGTAAGAGAAAGAAAACCCTCAGCTCTGTTAAATACACAAACAAGCTACAGATTTCAGCCCAAGCCCTTAAACACAGAATCCAAACACCCTGAAGTTACAAAAAGTCAGAAACAAATGCAAACTTCACAGCTGTGTACTATCACACACAACATTTTAAGCCTCTACAGCTGGGCCCTTGGGGTGATTAGCTGTGTCTCCACCCTAGCAGGGTGGACAGCTTTCCTAGTTTAACCAAACAGCCTGAAAGTCCACGTGAGCATAAAAAGTCCAGTTATTTGTACCAGTTTCAGTGCGATCAGTAGCTAGTTAGGCAATCACCAGTGCCTTCCCTAACAGCCACACTATTTCCATAGAGGAATTCTAACCACAACCACTCCTGCACTGGGCTTCAGCACAGCACTGAGTGGCAGCACCCCTTATGCAGTAAGACTAAGAGCATAGAACAGATAAAATCTGAGTAGGCATCTCAAGAGAATTATGACAGAAGTATTTTGAGCTCTTCAGCCAGCAAAGCTTGATTACTGAACTCCTCCAAGCACAAGATTTGCATCAACAGTGCATTTCATATAGCTCCTGACACACAGCGAAAACAGAGGAAAAACAAGCAAAATAGCAGTAAGCATGGCCACCCCATGCACCCTCAGCCACATCAGAGCTAGTCCTGCCTGTTCAGGCTCTTCCCTCAGCCCACCAAACTCAGCAAAACCCCAACATAAAAGAGCTCAAACTAAATCCATGAGATAAGCTTTTACCCCACTCTGCTGCCATCCTGGCCATTCCCACTAGCTTCACTCTACCTTCTGTGGCACACGCCACCTTTAGACCCTGCACTTGCTCCTTTCATCCTTTATAGAAATCAGGTGTTCACAATCTCCTGTACTTGCTGCAGCTGTGCTGCTGAGCACCTGGACCTAAATCCTTGTTGCCCAAGGGACTCTACCTCACACCAAAGCTCAGTGATATCTCATCTGCTGGTCCTCGGAGGAGCAGACTATCTTATCTGTAGCAGTAGTCAGGAATGTAATGCTTGTTGCTGTTTATTTCCACCTCGAGAGCTGTGTGTGAGCAATGACAATTGGGCAAGATGGACAAGGACATCCACTGGATCTCTGAAAGCAGAAATTTAATAACTTGGAGGTTGTTGCAAAGATGAAAAGAGGGTAGAGAAAAAATCCCTGAATGTTACGGAGTAATCAGCTAATTCCTCCGTGCAACAATCATCTGAATAGATACCTTTCTGTTTGATCACTAGCTTGGCTCCAGAGAAAGCTGATGTCAGCAAAGGCTGGTACAGTGGAGACACATACTACTCCTTGTATTCTCCATATCTCACTGGTGAGCCCCCCCACCTGCTGTGCCAGGGGCAGGAAGCTCACACAGACCCTGGAGCGTTGGCTTTCTCCACCAGGAGGGAGATGGGTTCAACACTTAGCACCAGGATCTCACCCTTTCACACTCTCAGAGCCACGCTCGTGTGCCAGGCACTATGGGGAGTTACTCAAGAGACTTGCTCACATTACCTTAATCTGAATGCATGCACAGGTTCCATAGATAATATAATTCTAGTTCTTTATCACTTACAATATCACTGCCATTTTCCAGTTTTCAGTATAATTTTCTGATTGGTAATGTAAATCACTTATTTTCTTTAGTGTTTGACCCTTATGACCCTGGAGGCAGTTTTTTCCAAATCCCATGCAAGCATAATCACTGTTGCCAATATACAAATAACACTTTTGTGTCTGAAATATTATCACATGGAAGATTTATTTTCTCTTCCTTTTAGTTTACTATATATACCTGGCAGCACATTAAATATAGCTAGGTTATCATTCCATCTGCAGTTTGTGACCTCTCACGTGTAGCAATATAGAGGAGAGAGAAGAAAGGCAGTACTCTTGCCTATTCAATTATCTGAGTCCTAGTCTGCTACTGAAAAAGAGGTGATGAAGGAAGTGAGCAGCCCTAATTGCTTTTGCTCTGTGTGTCTCTTAGAATGGAAATGGAGATGAGTGCTATTTTTCAGCAAAAAGAAATGGAGAAAGCTCATCAGAAAGGGCTACTGGGTCTGGAAGCGCCTTTCCTTTACCATGGGATGCCAGCTGGTCCCATTGCTTTCCGTGGCAGGCACAGACTACCTGAAGGCCATCTTCCCAGCGACTTATATGTTCACCGTACCACCCTTGATGAAATTCATGGCAACACCATGCTCATGGCAAGCAGCCCATACCCACCAGTCAGCACGCTGCAAAGGGAGAGGGGACGCCGACCAGGGAGACGAGCTGGAAATCACAAAACTGCAGACTGTAGTGCCAATGGCACAAAGAACCAAGCTGATGACAAAACTACAGACTCTACTTCAGCTGCGGCGGATGATGAGAAAGAGGACAAGAAAGAAACAGAGGCGGAGACACCAGACAAACACGAACAAAGCAAAAACCAGACCGAGCCACCCACAGTTGCCAAAAACTGTAAAGAGTTTGAACAAGACTTGAGAAAAAACTGTGCTACTCATGAAATTTCTACAGAAACCAACAGCTGCAGCAACACAAATGAGAAGGAATCTAATAGCTCCTGTGCTGCTTTTGATGACAAGTACATGTACCCTTCTGCAATCCCATTCTCAGCGTTACCATGTGGATTTCCAGTACCCAGCAACCCATTGCTACCTTCAGGTTTGACAAGTCTCCAGATTACAGAGTGGCGTGTTGATATTATTTCGTTTTATTGATTTGCTCTCTTATTTCTTCCCTCTGTTTTAAGCAAATTTTTGGTATGATGCAGTCATGGCAATTAAGTGTAGAATTCATATGCTGCAAATAGTAATAACTAGGTAAATCCAAGCCAGCAAAGGTAAACAGTGGTTTTCCTTACCTGCAAACTGTGCTGCTGGCTGGCATAATGAAGGTTTCAGCATCATAGGTATCAGTGCTTTACTTTGCAGGACAATGCGATTGCATAGCAGAAAGTTACAAAGCAGCTTCCTAACTGTTTCAGTGCTCTGTGCCATGCACTATCCTGCTGCAATATGTCATCCTGTGTTTGTATCAGTCCCTGGGGACAACACACTTGTCATCTCTAAGTTGTCAAATTAGTAGCACTTTGAGGTTCTCTGCAGTTCTGTTCAACGTTACATTCTCTCCTCTCCTCTGACAGTCTGAAGGAAACATAGCAGGATGTAATATACTGATCATAAACCTTGTCTGTGCCAAGCAGGACAAGAAGTCCCCTTAGAAGCTGCATTCATTTAAGAACAAACTTATCCTTGAGACTTGAAGTCCCCAAGAACAGAGCTCAAGACAAAGGGCTCTCCAGCCATCGTGAAAGAATCATTGTTTCTAAAGCTTTGCAGCTCTTGTTAAATGCACCAGTGCCAGTCAATGAGCCCTGCAAAACTTCCCATTACCTGCAATGAGAACAGGCTGGGGTGTTTGTCCAGGATCATCTACCAAAGACATACTGTATCACTGAAAAATATATAATCATAGAATCATAGAAGTATTTAGGTTGGCAAAGACCTTTGAGTCCAACCGTAAACCTAATACTGCCAAGTCCACCACTAAACCATGTCCCTAAAATGCACATTAAATATTCAGTTCTTGTCTGCAAAAGGAATTTCAATTAAAATAAACAAAGTTGCAGACTGCAGTTGTGAGCTAGCTTCTCTCTTCTGCCCATAAATTTTCCATATGTCCTTCTAACTCACAGTAATCACTATGGGCTAGCAAAGGCTTGGTTCTGTTCTACTGAAATATTAGTCAAGTTAAAATAACAGTAAATTCTAAACAATCAAAAGCATTGGATAATATACTCACTAGAGAAAATACTGCAGTATGATTTGTATGTGTAGTGACTGGTATGTACAGTGCCAGCTGTAAACAAAAGAAGACACCAAAAGAAAACCCTCCAGGATCACCACTGACTATCTGGTGATTTTGATGTCTAGGACTCCTGTATCTGTCTGTGACTACACACTGCTGTTAATACATTAGGTTCAGGAGAAGTGTAAAAATTCTCATGTTAGCAGTCGTTTCCTATTGATTTACCAGCAAAGTTCTACAAACATAACATTTGTGTTTCCTCCACAAAGGAGCAGATGGCCTGATGCTGAGTGGAGAAGACATTTCTTCCATTGAAGACATTCGCAAGTGGACTGTTGATGATGTATACAACTTCATCATTAGCCTCCCGAGCTGTTCAGATTATGCCCAGGTGATTATAAACATTCATCCCCTTTTCAGGTCTTTAGGACCATCTAGATTTAAAGGTCATCAAACAAATGTAGATGCTAGAGGTTAACTGGTTGTCACAAAGTTACAAATGTAATAGTAGTTTTCACTGTGTTTCAACACATGAAGCCATTTTGCTTCTTAAGGGAAAGGCAGTCCCTGCTCTGAGAGGTTACACGAGCTTCTGCTGCAATCTGGAGTCACTGGTCATGACATATACCAGAAGGACTAGCAGTAAACAATAGTATACAAAAAGTGTCTTAATTTTTTCACTCCACATGACTTGCACAATTTTTCTGCAGATTACAACAGTTTTGCATTAGTGGACATTGGTATAACCCACCTACCACCCCTGAGGTTTTGTAGGCATCATTCAATCTGAAAAGCGAAATAGCATTAGGAATGCAAGCAGAGGGGTTGAAATCCTGTATATCCCTGGTAAAGCCTTAATAAGATCAACAGTATTCTTTCATTGGTAGTAGGCTGCTCACTTCCTAAAAATACCTCCAAAACTAAGTAACACTGAAACATTACAAAGTTCCCACTGGCCAAGAGCAAGTAGATAAGCTACAGGCAGTCTGCTGATATCAGCACACCTGAACAGGAGACTTCATGCTGCAGTTAGGAGATAAGTATGAAGATAAAACAGTAAAATTATTATTTCCTCCTTTTATTGTTTATACCTCAGGATTAAGCATAAAAAATAACCCATGAAGTCTGTTTTAGCACACCATGATATGTTTTATCATTTCATAAGATATTTAAAGACCACGTTATTGATGGAGAAACCCTTCCACTGCTAACAGAGGAACATCTCCTGGATACAATGGGATTAAAACTCGGACCAGCATTAAAAATCCGCTCTCAGGTATGATCATTAAATGTATGTCAAGATGGCAAGTCACAGAGATGTGAAAGAGTCAGAAGCTAACAGGATGAAATTTTTCCAAACTAAACCATATTTTTTCTCACTGATCAGATAACTACCATAATATTAGAAGAAAATAAATTACTCCAGCATAGTTTAGTTTTGCTTCTCTCTGTGTTACAACAGCATGCAGGGAGACAGTAAGGGGAGGTTAGAACTGACAGTTTGAGAGACACTTAAAGTGGAGTCAGGATACAACATCACTGGAGACCAGGCTTAGGTTGGAAATGGAAAAGACATGCTTGATGAATTAACTCAGTTTCACTCCTTTTTTCCCTTCCCAGCTGGTAAGAACCACTCTGGCACACATTTGCTTTTGCTCCAACCTGGCTTTTGAAACTTATCAAGTAGAGGTTTCTACAGCCTTTCTGGGAATATAGTCCTACATGTTTCAGGGTCAGGTTGTTCCTCTATGTTTAAAGTTTTCTGCTCTTATTTTTATATCTTAATACCAACTCTCTCTGTGTTTCTGTTGTTGCCTGGTTCTTTCCCTTTTCTTCAATCCCTCACTCTCTCTCTCTTCTCTCATTAAAACCACCTTCCTTGCTCCTGGCTGGCAGTTTGCCCTGTTGTCAGGCCCAGAACACCAGACCGTTTCCCAAGCTGAGTATTGCCAAGCTCCTTCCTGAAGAACCTGGGCCTAGAAAAATATGAGAGGGAAAATGGAAGAGATTTTTTTTGCTTTTGCTAACCACTGACAACCCTCTGAGGTGGTTGGAATCTCCTGGATGTCCCTGGCATTGCTACATGACAATCAGTCCTGATGTTTAACGGCTTTATCACTATCTTAAGAAGCAACTGCTGCAATTGTGCTTTTGTCTTTAAAGGTGTCTCGACGTCTGGGCAATGTGTTCTACATGATGAATCTTCCTCTGTCTGTGCCCCTGCCACCTGCTCCAGGCAAACCCCCAGATCAGCCCTCTGACATAGCCTCCCCTCTTCACTGCAACAGCAGTGGGGGTATGCTGGATAGTCCCTGCTCTCAGGACCCAGAAACTTCAAAAGCAGTGGAACAGATCATTTCAGAAAGCAGGGAAAATCCATGTGACACAGCTGGATCTCAGGCTGACTTCCAGATGATCACTTCCCAGAAAAGTTGAGCTTAGTCCAGGATATGACATGTTCTTAATAATACAGGAGCCTCTAGTCACAAAGTGTTTGAGAAGATAGCTGCAGCCCGAAACCTCTGTATGACTGGGGCTGAACAAAATAAGCTGCAAATGCAGCATGAGGAAGTGTGGTATCTGAAAGGCATGAAAAAAAAGCAACTACACATTAGTGCAATTACTTTCAAGTGCAATTCGTTGAAATGAATACCAGTACAGTTAACAGGTAAATTTAATTTTTCATTCAAGTCCAGTGTCATCACTGCAATCTGGCAGAGACTCAGAATACGCTGTCTGGTTTACAGTGTGTTCCTGTGAGCAGCTGAGAAACTACAAGGAAAAGTTACAGCTTCCACACATAGCTGACTTCTGCTTCTGTTGAACAATATTTACATGAAAAATGTATATGGAATTCATTGAGGGAGTACAGAATTACCTGCAGAATTACCTAGACTGAGGAATTTGAGTTAATTCCATTGCTGTTGTAGAAGTAAGCCTTTCTAAGTGCCTGGGAGGGGTACACAGGATATAGACAAGATACACAGATTAAACCCTGGAAAAGAAAATGCTATGTGTAACAAGAGTTTTAATTATTCAAAGGCATTCTTATCATCAGGGTTTGAATTTGCTTTGCATGATTGCACAGCTGAGATGGGTTTAGGAGGAAGCATCAGCAGACTTTGCCATGAAGACCAGTCACTGGGACAGTAACGTTCCTGCAGGCAGCAGGCTCAAAGCCACCCCGGTTCCTGCCACCTTCTGCCACAGCATCCATCCCCTCAGCTCACCTGGGCAAGCTGTGGAAAGCCCTTCACTCAGCAGCACACTCAGTGTTCTTCATTTTGGAAGAAGCCATCAATTTTAGCCAGAAAGCTCCCTTTTGTCTGCAAAAATATGGTTTCCCCTCACTTCTGCTACTGATTTCCTTACAGCAAACAAGAACCACAAAATAGTGTTTAGCTAGGGATAAATCCTCAGCATTTTATTGTGAACCCGGGTGAATTATCTCTGTTCCCTCTTTAGTGGTTTGGTCATACACTGGTCTTCCACTTAGGCTTCGGAAGTCAGTATACTTCCACTCTCCTCCTTGCAAGAACACTTCTTCATTCCAAAGGACACACAAATATTTTTGGTAAAATTAAGTTCTGTAAATGGAAAGTTGATAGATTGCAGATCTGCTCTATATTTCTGCTTTAGATTCTCTCCCCTTAGTTTAGTTTCCGTGGCCTGTTTGTGTGTTTAGATGGTGAGTGTCTAAACACACGAGGAGGGGGAGTATTTTCATATTTTAGACTGTGGGCACCTGTTTTTTTACTTTAGCCTGAGATAAATTATTTCATATCTTTGATATATTTGTGCACTAGATAGTATGTGATTAGATGTTTGCAAAAACAACTTAAGATCTTCATCTTACTATACTGTACAAACTTTGCAGCCTTCAGAAAAAGGGCAAATATCTATAGTACTCCTCTTCTGAACTAGCAAAGTCTTTCTGTAAAAGGAGTTGAACCTGACTCTGCTTTCACTGAAAACTGTCACTGACACCAATTATGGCAGTCTTGGACTCTGTGCATGTATCTCCAAATACTGTAACTGGAGTGTATGATTTCAGGGTTAATCGATAAAATCCAGTAAGGCCCAACACAAAAGCATAGTATGCTACGCAGCAAAATACTCCAAAGTTGCAGACAGACCCTGATGTAATCCCCTCCTAAGTGCTGACCTTTACATCTGTGATCTGATGAAATAATGGGAGCCTTTCCCAAGAGTTTGAATTATGTCATATGCATCACCTGTGGGTATTTTTCATATAAGGAACTATTTACTGAATACTCAACAGTGTTCCAAACAATCAAAATTATAACCTCAAGCTGGAAAGTTTAAATCTAACTCCATAAGACTGTCTAAAAGAAGTACAACAGCAGTATTAATCTTGGACTGGCAATTAGTTTGCTGTTCACTCTGTCTCAATTAATTTCAAAAAGTGTTAACCTCTGTTCTCTTCATCAACTTTTCAACTTTTTTTCATGGCTTTAAAATTTAGTAAGGCAGCTTGGAAAGCTTTATGTTGAATTTGTTAATGTAAATGTTTACTTTTTCATATTTTGGATGAAACACAATTGTCAGTGTAAAAAACCCATATTCTGTTTAAAATGCTTTTACCTGTTATTTTAACACATAACGTCTTAGATTAATTACACCAGAAAAAATGTTTTACTGTTACTGTAGATTTAACTATTGTGATTATTTTTCTTTTTTTAATGTAGACTGTTCATATACCATGAGGGAAAAAGAAAATATTTTTATATAGTAAAAGTGTTCATTAAAATTAAAAAAAAAAAAAAAAACAAAAAAAAAAAACAAAAAAACAAAACCAACCAAACAAACAAACAAACAAAAAAACAAACAAAAAAACCCAACCAAACCAACCAACCAACCAAACAAACAAACAAAAAAAAAAACCAAAAAAAAAAAAAAAACAAAAAAAAAAAACAAGGACACCAATTCTGTTTAGCATCTAAAACAATTTCTAATTTTTTTTTTGGTATAATGGATGATCGTGTTGACAATGTCACTTATCTAACTAAACCATCTAAATAATGACATCCTACCTCCTCATTGTATGAAATATTTGACTTAATTCCTGTGAGACCTTCTGCACCTTAGAAGAATCTCCGATACGTTTCCAGGTCAATGAGGCCACGAGATGTCGCTGCAAAGCTACGAGAGGTTATCTACTACCCCTCCAAAGTGAAATGCAGCACACTTGAACTACAGGTGGCCTGTTAAGAGCAAGCATATGAAGAAACTGAACTTTTTGTGAAGTAACAGCAGAGGAGCTTGACTTGAAATCCCATATGCCGGGGAAGAAAGGTTGAAACCTGCTAGTGAGGAGTGTGACTATTTTTGTAAATGGCTCAGACATGAACAATGCCAAAAGCAGAGAAAGCTGGGATGCAAACTTTGCAGTCTGGTACTACTTCTGCAATTAAAAAACCCATATGATCCTTTGCACATACTGGGCTCTTCTTCCCCAGAAGAATGACTTCATGGCTTGCTGTACTGGGGCAGAGATGGGCTGGAGCAGCCAAAATGCAGTAAGGCTGGGGACTGCCGACAGCCGCAGGGTGAAACAGGAAGGAAAGGCGGTTACCCAAACGGACATAATCGATTCTATTTCTAATGAAGGAAATACCACTGGTAATTAATTTTTTCTCTCCTACAACACTTCAGAGAGAATGAAATAAAAAAAAAAAAAGGTAAAAATTAAAAAAAAAATAAGCAGACAGACACACGTTTTCAGATTTTGATGTGTTTCAGGAATTATATTTATATGTAAACATTGAGGCCTTACTGGTTCTCAGCTGCTACATGTTCTTTTTTGACTTTTAATGCTTATTCCAGCTGCAAAGGGCTGTAGCTAGCAATCACAAGTATGTAAGAAAGCTGGCAGAGCTGTGCTACTTAATGACTTTCTGGTGCCTATGCCATCACTGCATTCATTTTTTCTGCTATGTCACTGAAATCACAATGGGATGCAGATGATGTATATTAATATGTATGGCATCAGTAGAAATGTTTCACCATCTACTTCTGTATTAATCTGTAATAGTGATGCAGTTAATGAAGAGAATGCTTTTTATGAGAAGTTGTAAAAGCATCTGATTTTGTCTGTATCTACACTAAATGTGTAGGCTCCTAGGGACAGGGACTTCCATTTCTTTTTTTTATAGGGCCAAGGTCAAAGACAAGATAAATAAAAAGGTATAGCAAACATATAACCAAATGGTTCTGTACTATAAATAACAGATTTAGGAAAGTCCTGAAAAGGAAGAAATGGTTTGTCCTTCCTACCATAAACGGTGTTTCTGACCTCATGATTGCTGTGTATGATGATGATGATGTGGAATACATATTCATATGGACCTAAACAGATAATTCTCTGCTCAATTCCCCAGGTGAAAAATGTCTAAAAAATGTTACAAATATAAAGTGGTTAGGCAGAATTCCCACCTGGTCCAAGTCAGGCAGTCATTCTAATCAAGCATACAAAAACAAGAACAGGCAGCTAGGTCCACAAAGCAACAGGATTTCAAGGCAACTCATATCCATGCCACCAGCTACTTTATAAAACTTAGTATTCTGAGACTTTATACAATTATGACTCCTCTACAGAATAGTTTTCAGAATGTTAATTTATCTTTTGAGTGTGAAACAGAAAAAACAATCACTTCCAGTTTTTAAAATCACTTATATTTTTCAAACCAAGTAGAAACTTCTCATATTTTAGACTTACCAAATACCCTAATATAGTGTTGATTGGTTGTGTAGTGTTTTTGAGTTGCCTTCAACATCAGAAAGTTTACAGAAAATCACCTAAAACTTGATACAGCCCTTGTTTTGGTACCTTGCTCTGATAATGGCATAATAAATGTCCTATCTAAGCCCTTTATTATTCACTGGAAAATAACAGGTCAGCTCTGTGAGGCTGGATGTTCATCAGGGTTCTGCTACCAGCGGTGCTTGGTTTTGATTCAGCCTTTCACGCTATAATAAATAGCTATAGATATATTGCTATGGCAATTTCAGTATAATAAGAATACATGTCACAGTAAGAGAAAAACTGACCTCTCCTTTTTCATTTGTTTGGGGTTTGGGGATTTTTGGGGTGGGGGTTGCTTTCTGCCTTTGCGGTTGCAAAGCTCTTTTCATTCTTCTGGAAGGATTTGCTCCTATACCGAGGCCACAAGAATTACTCTGTTGACTTGGCCTTTATGCAGTCCTTTACTTTGTCCCATTGCCAAATTTGCCTAAGTCTGCATTCTTCCAGACAGACATTAGTTCCGCTGCTATCCACATGTTCCTCTTGAACCAACAATTTCCCTGTTGGTGAGGATGTAAAATCTTTTACCTAGACCATAGAAAAGAGAAGCCCATTGTCTGTGTTGTATAGAGAATGATAGAATATTTTTTCCTATGGTACAGTGAAGACATGAATAGATGTTTTGCTTTATCAAAATTTAAAACCACATATATGTGCCACCTGTGTGTGTGAATTACTGAAGTAAAAATCAATCAACCAAAACAGCAAACAGCAAAAGCACTGCTGACCAAGGGGAAAAAAGAAAACATCAAGCCAACCTGATTTTCATCTTTGCTGATTACCTCTCAGCTACAGGGTTCAAACAGCTCTGCTAGAGAGGAGTGCTGCTCAGTCTGTGATTCATGGGACTCCAGCAGTCTGTAAACAGTTTGCATTGAAAGATGGTCTGTAAAGCAATCGCTGGCTTCTGGTTGAATCTGTTAATTGGAGAGATGTGAACTCAGGAATGACATTTTTATATAACAAATATTTTTAACTCCAACATTTGTAGTCATAACAACAAATTTTTGATTTTAACAGTAACAATTATTTTTTCCTAATGCTATATCCTTAAATATTACCATTCTTCTCCTCCCCTCCTGTCACTGCCAAAAATAACAGAGATACAAGCAAGCTTTTTTTATTTATTTTTTTTTTCCAAAACCTCAACTAGTTCTTCCAAAAACTGTATTGATGTATTTTCCATTTAACATATTTACGTGTCCAGGTACATCCCCACTGACTCCAGCATGGTCTGCTGGACCAGCAGATTGGCAGTGGTCCTTAGGAAGAGCTGTATGCCACTCCACATCAGGAGAGTCATGTCATTATTAGAGTTCATCAGTTATTGCTAAAATGAAAATAGATTCTTGCAATGAACAAAGCTGGTATTTGAAACAGATGCAATTAATTACAAAAGGACTAGAATCAGGATAAATTAATTCTTAGCTCAACTATGTTTTTTTGTAAATTATATGTATCAAATAATTCTGAGTTGTATAGAAATGAAAAGGAACTTGCAAGACTGGAAGTATTTAAGAAGCTTCTTAGTGAAAGATAATTCTGGAGATTTGTCTAATGAATCTTTGTTGTTCTGCTAAATTAAAAGCTAAGTGGCTAACTAAATATTTATAAGCTTCTGAGATGGAAGTGACTCAGGATATGTCTACAGTGGAGTGTGCTTCTGAGTTATGACTCATGGATTTGTGGGTGGATTTCAGCTGAACCTGCCTTGGAAGTATGTGATACTATATGGTACAAGGCCCCTGTTCCTCATATTTTAAACCCATATTCAGTGCTGAAGCTGACTGGATGAAAATGGAGGTCACTCCAGAGCCTGCAGCATGCTACCTACCATCTGTAGATGATCTAGGAAATGGCTCCTAACGTTGATGGGGAATTTGTCTATCCTCCTTGGATTCCTCTAAGGAAGCTCGCTCTTTCCTTCCTGCCTGCCTCCCTTCCTTCCTTCCTTTCTGCCTGCCTTCTTGCCTGCCTGCCTTCCTTCCCATCAACATAACAGTTGAGGTAATTGTGATTTGTGTTCTCCCCTCTCTTCCCACAAAGCCAGAAGGATGGATCCAGTGGATAAGCTTCTTCAAAGCGAACGGTTTCTTCAGCAAAACAGACACTTGCTCAGACTTCTAGTGTCGCTTCAATTTCTGTATTGCTGAAGGCAGTGTGATTCTAGAGATAATTCATGACATTCCTGCCAGTAATTCAATTGCCAACGTGTAGCCTTGCTCTTCTGGTGCATATTAACCACACCACAGTGGTAAGACCACATCATTTTAGGGACCCAGGACGACTGACACTGAGTGCCGAACAATTTGATTATCAATAGTACAAATGCCAATAAATTGCCAGGAATAAGTGAATATAGGAGTATAAGGAAATATGTACCAGAAAGAGTAGAACACCACCTAACTCTGCCTCAGAGGCCAAGAGAGGATATCTGAAGTATAAGAACAAAACATTTCAGAATACTTCCTTTATCTCCAGGTACCTATCTTGCAGAAAACCAGAGGAGATTTTTATATTTAATAGCTCATGATGCATTTTTGTTTCATTAATGTATCCAGCTGTTTTTTGAACAGTTTTCAGCATCTATGCTGCTACATTAAATCACACAGTTGGGGTAAAGAGGAGGAGGAGGAGGAGGAGGTGGGAAGAAAGGCTAATGAAATGCTGTCAGTTTGGCTTCGGTTGAAAGAGGAAACCACTCCACTTGCATGCAATGTCCTTCACAACAGTAATTTAAGTTGTCATGATTCTGAAACCCTACTCTAATCAAAATGGCAGTTGGCACTTAAGGGGCTGTGACTTTA